GTCCATGAAAGTAATGAACAGAATCGGTGACAAAGGGCAGCCTTGGCGGAGTCCAACTCTCACCGGAAACGAGCCCGACTTACTGCCGGCAATGCAGCCGACAATGCAGAAATATTATCAGACTACTGAAAGCCACCAAAAACCATGAGAAAACATATAAAATGGGTGTATGAGGATGTATATGTATATTGGATGTCCATGTAGGCGTTCCACGCTTCCAAGAGATCTGGGTTATATCCATTCACCCAGCAGTCCTTAGGATCACGTTTATTTATGACGACCATTCCAGATGTGAGATCGTTGACGTAAGCTTCATTTTGTGCCTGGGTCATGTTACAAGCCTGGAGTACACCTAGAGCCACAGGTTATACATTATTGTCACCCATCACAAAGACTCCTCCTTCCCTCTATGGATATACTGTAAGAGTCCCTGTTGCGGACATGAGCACAAAGGAATAAGTCTGCTATGGACATGAAAGTTATTTCTTACATAACAGGTGCCACACTGGTTAGTCAAAAGAGCTAAAGTTCAGATTTTTAACCTTATCTTAAAGAGCTGATGACACGATTTAATTTTATGTAATTTTTGGATTAAAATTGTACAACGTTAAAATAAATTATTCTGTAAGGTTATAAGTCAAATAGGCTTATTTTTTGTGTAAATATCCAACGTTTTAAACAGCTCCACTGAGGAGCTACATTAAACAGAGTCATCATGTTGTGACGTCAGCGGGAGGACGCTAAGCCCTTAGCTAGTATTAATAACAGCTGTACACTCATGGTGGAAGCTGTTGAACTGTGATGGAATCATCAGCCTGTTCCAGCTCAGAGCAAAGTAGTGGTGCTGAGGAATATGTGGTGGGTGGGAGGGGGAGGGGGGTGAGGTGAAAATACCACGTCTTCTGATTGAAGTGGAACTGCTGTTGCTCAATGAAGAGAGGACTCTGAAAACAGGCTGGKTGAACAGCAAGAATCTTTATTTTTGCAGCCCAGGAGATTACAGCCTAAAACCAAATTGTGGCCTCCAAGCAAAATGATTCACCAAGTAAGTAGATGAAGATGAAGGCCAAGAGCAGGGGTGTACAAGGCTCTTTATAGTGTAGTCCAGATGCACCATAAACTTCGTCATGGTATACCTTCTTCCTAATATGGTAATATGTGCCGAGTTCTGAAGCTGGAAACTAAGAGAGGCATAACACTCCTGTGCATTCCTGAGAAGAAGCCCCCTCACTCTTGGACACTACATAACCCCCCCCCTTCCGGACTAATTAGTCCCGAAAGAAAAATAAAGGATTGGCTGTAAACCGAGAAAAAAATAACACCATAGCCACTGCAGCACAAACACTTTGCTGTTCAAATTCATTGTATATTATCATTTGTCCATTAGCAAATAAGTAAACGGTTCAGCCTACAATTTAGATGTTGTCTAATTTAGCTAATAACCTATTTTAAGTCCTAAGTGCACATTATTTTCAATTACTTTAAAAGTAGGTAAACTAAGCCTAATTTTCTAATAAGGTCAAATTCGGCTACATCAGCCACCCCCACCCCAAGGCCTCCTGACTGTAAACACCTCCATGACTGACATGGACAAACAATCCATGCATACTCTTTAAAAATTCTGTGTCACTGCAGGGGACCTGAAGGCTGACTCGTTGCAATTCACCTAAAATGACCCATCACGATCAGAAAAACCTCCCCATGAAACAAGGGTGGGGAAAAGACCGCAGGTCCCAGAGAAATCCTCACTCCATGCCAATCTGTGAAGGAAATCTCCGTTTGAATCTAACAGTTACCATAAACTAATTTTTGGGACTTTTCAACGCCAATCACGTCCCGGTTTGTTACCTATGCTAGTAAGGACAAATGTAACGTGAGTCATGCATTAATACAAAGTGAGTTAGATATTTCCATGAGACGCAGCTCACTACATAAGATGATCATAATATGACAGTCAAAACAACAAGTAACACATAGTAAATGATTGTCACATCAAACAATATGATACGAGGAATAAAAACCAAAATAATAAACACGTAAAGAAGATTATACGAGTTCTTAACGACAGTAGTTTTTGTTTTCTGTCACCCATGGTGCCTGGATTCAGTCCTTTTCTGTGGCAAAAATGTTTGAGCCATCACAACTCAGAGACCAAGTCCTTTGTACTGCCGATTCTGCACAGATTTATGAGTCCTGTCCAAGAATTTGAGTCCAAAGTCCATGTAACAGAATCAGCCTGGTGTCCTCCTGGAAACACAGAAAACACCACACCAGTATCTTGCAAAAAAATGACAAGTTTCAATACCATGCATGGAAAACAAACTTTATCATTATGTTTATACAATGCTGATGAGTAACAACATGTTTCAAGTGTCCAAGTGGTAATATTCTTTGAGGTATGTAACTACTAATATGAGGTGTTAACATCATCACTCTTCTTTAGTCAGCAGAAGAAAAAAATAAAAGAAAGAAAGAAATCCTCAGAGCTGTGACACTTATCCTGCTCCTGGTGCTCAGTCAAAAATAAAGGACTGAGTCAAATCAAATGAAAAAGCAAAATCAAACAAAATTAATAATAAAAGATATATGTGAGAAGAGAAAAAAAGAAAGCTATATAGGCAAACAATATATGTCAATAAACATATCAGTAAATAAAGAGAAAAGAAAAACATTATATGTGGTGCCTTAACAGTTACTCATGGCCAGAATTAAACACTGAAGTAATAAAGGGGAAAACAGTAGTCATTAGCTTCAGACTGGGCTTCAGCCAAAACAACAAACAAAAAGACTCTAACTTTCTGAGTAACTGGTCCTGTCCATCAAAACAAAACAAAAAAATTACATTCATCTTGCCTCCCTAGATAACAAAAACAGGAGAAAACTGAATCAAACAAAAATTGGCACCCGTACTACACACATTTCCCTTCACAGTGTCAACACACAGACCTATTGTGAAGTGTAACCAGACCAAACAAAATACTTAAAATGGGTACATKTCCATCACATCATCACTCTGTAGGTGAATCATTTCCTCCTCACTCACATTTCCATCCAATAATGGCATTTGCGCTTGGTTATCAGGCATCACCACTCCAACCCATCTTAAAATCAGGGCTTTTGCAAAAGTCAGCAACAGAGTACAAAAACAAAACATCATTAAAATAAGAGAAAATGCAGCCACCCAGTTCGGACCAGTTTGTTAACAGATTTTTACCAGGTGTTTGTTTTAGCACCACATTCAACTTTTCACAAATGCCTTGGCTCTCAAGGTGACAAACAGATCCAAGGTGTTGTTTAATTTTTAACTTTTACAGGATCAGTCTTACAGTTTTATCTACAAACTCTCTCCCATTATCTGATGAAATCCTATCCGGAAATCCCCATCTGGGTATAACTTCACTACACAGAAAGTTAGCAACAGAGTGGGCATCTTTACATTTGGTTCGACAGGCCTCTGGCCATTTGACTTAACCCTGTCCCAGTTTGTTGACAGAGAACAATCCATGCATTTCCACCGAGGTGGACACATACAGTATAAGACAAAGTTTTATTTATTTATTTATTTATTTATTTATTTTTTAATAATCAGGTAAAGCTAATGCTGGCTCTTCCTCCAGTTTTTTTCAGTGCTTATGGCAGTGGAGGTTGATTCTGTTGGGTTTGCATTACAACAGCTCAAGTCTTGTCTTTATTTTTTACTGTCCATCAGTTGCACCTGGGTGAGCTTTCTGAGCGTCTCCTGGTCTTGTCGTTTCTGAGCTTGTTCCTTCTTGCAATGTAAGTTGACTTGGTGTGCAACATGGTCAGTATACACACTTTTCATCATGCTGCCCAGTCCAATCACCTCAGCCAATTTGATCCTGGCTGGTGGTAGCAGCCCTTCTTGTATCTTTGCTCGGAGAATCGACTGTTCCATGCGGTTGAAATCTGGATCATTTCCGGTAATATTTCTCCAGGCTTGATGAGCTCTTGACACGTAGGCTCTTGCATTCTCCGGTTCCCCCATCGGTGGGATGATTATATTGTCCGGATGAACATTAGCTGGAAATGTTGCTCTCAAAGCCCTCCACAATTGTCCTCTGTATGCTGCAAAAAGTTCTGCGTCATACACCGTTGTTCCCACCTGTCTTTGAAGTCCAGCCTTCTGTAAAAGCTCCTCCATGGCCGGGACCCCAAGAAGATGTGCCAGAAGACGTTTAATGTCTCCAATCGCGGGCTGAGTCCCAGTAAATGCTTCTTCCAGCTTTGAGATCCATGGTTGTGCACCATCCTGGATTACTGGCAGTTTTTCGATTATGTCTGACATGTCCGTGTTCTGCCATGGTTTATATTCCAGATTCTGTCCTCGGACTAGGACTGGGGCCATCTTCCTAACATCTCTCCTTCTTAGGTTGTATCTTCAAGGAAGGCTGTGTTGAACTATTTTTCTTTTTAACTCTTTTTCTTTTATATTCAGCTGCTGTAATTGTTCTGTCAGCAACTGCTGGTTTTCTTTGCTGGTAGCTTGTTTCAACTCAGCACGGCATTCATGCTTAATTGCTGTTAGCTCTTCTAGCACTTGTTCGATTTCAAGCAATTTAGGCGATACTGAAGTGCCAGCATCTGAGCCTGGCTGACTGTCAGAGGACTCACAGCTGTCTTCAGAATCTGCCTCGCTTGAGTCGCTGTCTAAGATGATCTTCTTTGGCTATCTTTTGCCTTTTAATTCAGCTTTCTGCAGGATCAGTTTAATCCGCTGGTCGTAGCCCCCATCTGTTTCATCAGTTTCGCTCTGAGTGTTTATTCTGTCGGAAGTGATTTTCTGGGAACCATCTGTTGTTCTTTTCCTCAGAGTGGCATCACTGGTTCTGCACTTCATGACTGGATACATTGTGATGGTGGTTCTGGTTTTTCCTGTCTCCAGGATCCGTTGTTCATCATCTTCGACATGATAAATTCCTTCCTGATTAATAACTAGGAGTTGTGGGTAGATATTCTCACATAAATATGGTAGAGGACAAGAAATTGGAGCAGTGTGAGAGAAAGGTTCAGCCGCCTCTGTCCTCAGTTTTTCAGGAGGAGGTGATTTGTCCTTGTTGTTACCTGCTGTTGGCTTCTGTGTAACTTGAAAATCATCGTCACCCTTATGGGCTTGCAGGCGTCTCTGGCCCTCATCATAAAACATTTTCAAAATACCAAGTTCTACACAACGTTTGTCTTTACGTTTTTTTCCGCACCTACCTTGTTTCTGTTCCGCTTTATAAGCAGACACTAGGACTTGAATTGTTTCAATAACCGTTGGATTAAACGTTCCTTGTTCTGGCCACGGTTGGTCAATATCTGGCTATCGTTTATGTAACTTTTTTGGATAACTTTTCAATTCCTGTAATTAAGGGATGTTTTTGTTTAATGACATCWACCGGAGTAAGTCCGGGTGAAACCTTTGACTCTGTTTTAGGCATGTTATTTTATTATCTATATGCAGTTCTCTGGCAATGACTGGGAACAAAAGGGAAACAAAATAGCTATACTTTGTACACTGTGCTAGAAACAAAACAAAGGAGAGACTTACTTGTATTATAATGTGTAAAGATAGTTCTGTTGTGTATCAAAAATCAATTGACGCCGGGCAACACAGCAGCTGACGTCCATGAAAAATGCACAAGTCCATTGCTAAATCTCAACCTTCACTTATGTGTGTGTGTGTGTGTGTGTGTGTGTGTAAGGGTTTACAGCTTTGGTGACATTTTGGGGCAGAAATCTAATGGAATTCAATAGAATGTCCCCAATTAGATTAGCGTGCAAACTTGTGTGTGTGTGTGTGTGTGTGTGTGTGTGTGTGTGTGTGTGTGTGTGTGTGT